TGCAAGTGTGGGGAACTGGGGCTGGAACCTGGACTCTGCCATTGGGGGCTGCTTCTAGATCCTGAGCTCCTCACTCTCACCTCAGACTCTGCTCTTGCCGGATCCTGGCAGTGTGGAGCCTGGAGGGCCCAGGAGACAGTAGTGGGCAAGGGGCCTGGTCCAGGCAAAGAAAGTGGCTTTGTGCATCCCCTCACTCTCCCCACCCCAGCTCCAGGCTGGCTTTGGGCAGTGGAGAGGAGGAGGAGATTCAGCCGGTCCTGAGCCTCCCTCCTTTCTTCCAGGCTGAGCAAGGCCATCACCTCTTCCATCATGGCGCTGATCTGTGCTATCAACCTCTACTTTGTGATCATCTACCTGCCCAGCCTCCCTCACCCTGCCTACTTCGTTCTTGTAGCGCTGCTGGCTGTAGTTTACCTGGGCCTCACCATCTACCTGGTACTGTAGGGTCAGAGGGTGCCTTGGGGATGGGGGAGGCGAGGAAAGGAGGCAACATTGGGAGGCATCGGAGTAAGGGGATGCTCTGGGTGGGGCAGGGGGAGGAGCCTGTTCTCTCCCAGGCTCATGGTCTCCCCTCCTCCAGGTCTGGACCTGTTTCCTGGCCCATGGAGCCACCATTCTGGCCCACAGCTCCCATCAACACTTCTTGTATGGGCTTCCTGAAGAGGAGGAGGAGGGGAGGATCTCTGGATGATCTCCCACCAAGGACCTGGCTCCAGGGTGGAATGAGTGGAGCAGACGGGCGTGTGCTCGTGGGGAGTTGGGGGGTGGAGGCAGGCCAACCAGGCTTCCATAGAGACTTGCTGTTTCCCAGTTTGGACAAGTGATTAACCTCCAGTCTGTGTTCTCATCTGTAGAATGAGGACAACACCAACCTTGCAGTGGATGTAAAGCACTTTAACACAATGCCTGGCACTTGGGACTTAAAAATAATAGTAATTCCAAAACCGTTTCTTGAGGGCCTATAGGAGTGACCTGACAGACAGACCCAGTTGGGGGCAAGACACAGGCTCCAAACTGACACTTAAGATAGTCTGATTATTTTGATCAATGCTCAACAAATGCTAGTCCACTTCTCATCCAAAAGCCTAGGAAAGCAGAAACAGGGAAAGGACAAAATCCTTGGACCATTAGAAGAGGCCCCCTAACTGGAATGTCAGTTCCCAGAGTAGCCTCAAATTAACCCACTTTCCATGCAGTAAAGCCGAGGCGCAGATTTCTCCTCTTCAGGCGCGAGGTCATGGAACCCAAGAGCCGTGCCTCCGAGGCCCAATTCACTTGCCATCTCCCCAGGGGACTGAGCGGCCGGGACTCCCACGCCGTGCACTAAACGCTCCCTGGGCGCTGACTCCCCCTAGGGGCAGGGACGCTCCCGAGTGCCCTCACTCCCTCTTGGCCAAAGAGGAGGAAGCGAGCGCTACGGCCTCGCGCCCTGGGACCCCGGAAGGTGGGGGGAGGTGGAGGGTGGAAGGGAGCTGTGTGGGCGGGGAACCCCCCTTGGCCTCTGGGAGCCGCCCGGCACCCCTCCGCCCAGTGCAGGGGTTGCACTTTACAGACGCTCCCTGGGCTGTTTCTAGGCTCCCCCAAGTACCTCCTCCGGCCTCTTCGGGTCCCTAGGACCCCTGCCTTAGAGCCGCGGAGAGCGGTGAACAGAAGGGGACCCCAGGCCTTTGCCCTGGGTTGAGCCTGGAGGGGACTTTGTGCCTGGAAGCACCCTTGATAGCCCAGGGATCCGGCGGGGCAAGCTCCGCGCTCAGGCTGAGGCGCTTGTTTATGAGAAGAATTTCCTCTTTCTTAAAAGGGCAATGATGCGAGTGGGGCCCTTAAGGAGGGACGGGATGGGACAGGTCTGGCCCAATCAGAGAAACGGTGGGAGAGGGTACCTGAGCTAGAAGGCCGCTGAATCCCCCGCTCTGCGTTTGGTCCTGGAGAAGATGGGACCCCGGCTAGCTGAAGAGGGGCTTGGATGGGGGCCAGATAATGGAGAAAGTCATCTTCCCTACTCCTGTCCAAGCGTCCTGGAAGTGTCCCCAAATGTACCTCTGCACACACCTTCCAGTCTATTCACTAGGTATTAATTGGGTGCCATCCCTACGCTAGACGGGGGAGGGAAGCAAAGTCCCTAATTAAAGATGTCAGCCCTCCAAGAGTTCACCCTCCAGCAGGGGGAGACAGATCGGTAAATGATAAAAACCAGTCTACAGTGGGCCAAGTAATGAAGTGTGTGAGGGGCACCTGCAAAAGAAAAAAAAGGAGAGGCAAGGGCCAGAGAAGGTAACTCCTGGACAGGATTTAGAAAGCTGAATGGGCAGGCGGCCGGGGGGGGAGGGGGGGGTAGTGCAGTCAAGGGAGAATAAACTTGCAAAGAGTGAGGGCAGTTGTGTGCAATCTTTTGGAGAGTTCTTGGAGCTTGTGGAGCAACGCGGGGGGGGGGGTCGCCAGGAAAGTGAGCAAGCTGGTCATCTGCATAGTTAAGTCTGGCACTGACAACCTGGGGTCAGGAAGGCAGGGAGGGGAGGGGACCACAGAGTCAGCTACAGGGCTACCCTGGGCCTGGGCAAGGGGTTAGCAATGAGGTCAGGCCAAGGTCAGTCATTTCCAGGGCGGGGAGGTCCCTCCAAAGGGCTGCCCTCCACCCCCATAGTAGCACTGGTCTTCCCAGGGGGAGGGCAGGGATGCTTCCTCAGCCCCTCAGGGGGGATGGACCCTCAGTGGGTACCTGCCCTCTCTACTCTGACCCCCTACTTTGCTTGCCTGGGCTGGGCTCTTACCAACCCCATTTGGCAGTTGAAGCAGAGGTGCTGAATAAAGAAGACGCTTGGCCACAGTTGCCAGACAGAACCGAGCTGAGTCCCGGTGTTTCTGGCCCCACAGCCTCTATGATTTGATTCCTCCTGGGGTGCAAAGAGAAAAACTGGATATGGTGACTTGGGGCCCGGCAGTTAAGGGATGGCAGCTGGGGGTGGACACCCACACACACAGGGAGGAAACCCAAAGAACCCACCACCGGACGTTACAGAACACTTCCACCGCCTCCTCTGTCCCCACAAGACCCTGCCTTGCAGGGGGTCTCATGGCTCCTTCACTGGCCGCCACCCCTCCCCGGGGGACGTAGCCCGGCACTGCCTGGGAGCCTAGAGAGGTCTCCCAGGGGAAGAGGCCTTGGACAGGGCTAGTGTTAGGGATGGGAGGTGACAGGAACAGGGGTGGCGGTGCGCCGCCACCCTGTCTGGTGCCCTATGCCTTCCTTCAGCCACTCTTGACTTCTCAAGAGTTCAGCCGGCCAGCTTCCAGGCTTCGGAGAGGGAGAAACGAAAGGACAGGAAGGCGAGCCGCCCTGCTCAGGCCAGGAGGTCACTCAGTCCTCCACCACACATTTCCTTTTGGGATCAGTGGAAGCTGGGATCCGGAGACGCAAGCTGACATCCCGCTCCCGGGCCCAACCCAAGGGGAGGGGGTCTCCGCTCGGTGGCCAGAATCCGGCCTCTACCCTCGCTGGAAGGCTGGGTCTGGTCGCTTCACTTCTCGGAGCTCACTTGTCTTATCTGTAAAATGGGAGAGGAAGAGGGTCATTCTGAGGAGTGAGCGAAACTGAGGGGCGCAGCCAGAGCAGGACCCAAACGAAGCGCTCGATACACGTTGGCTATTATTAGTATTGAATGCAACGATGGCGGCGGTGCGGGCGCCGAAAGGGAAGGAGGGGGGCCGTGGGATCCCGATCGGGGCAGGGTGGGGGTAGTGGTGGTGGTGGAGGGAGTCCCAGCCCGGGGCCACCTCCGGTCTCCCCTGTCGCGGGGCACAAAGCTGGCGCGCCTCCGGGCCGGCGCCGCTCTACTGCGCGACCGCCCCGGAGGGGGGCCTCGCCCCTCCCCGCCTCCCCCCTCCAACCTACCCCGCCCTGGGCCCGGAGGACGTGCGCCGCGCTCGCACCACGCGGCTGGACGGGACAGGACGCGCCCGCTCCGCCCCGCCACCGAGGCCCGCGGGGGAAGGAAGTGCTGAGGCGTGTTTGTCAAGCCTTGGCGTTATTATTTTTAAAATTGTGAGCGCAAAATAGTAAGGACGAATGGAAAGAACTTCATAAACAGGAAAAACACACACAAACACTCGTAGACCTCGCGGCGCAGAACTCGGGAGTTTCTCTCTCTTAAAGAATCTGTGTGGAAACGCGGCTCCCGGGCCAGCTGGTGTCTCTGTACACCCCACATGGAACGGGTGTTTACAATCATCCAAATAGCTGGTGTCTGTGGACTCTCACGGGCAGAAGTTGGGCCCGCAGGGATTGAGCGCCCACTGTGTACGGGCACCGCGTGAGCCCCCCGCCCCACTAAGCAAGGAGTGGCCGGCGTGGGGACTAGAGCAAGGGTCTAGGAAAGCCTCTTGGAGAAGGTGGCATTTCGTCAAGGTCGGTGGAATTTGGCTCCCGGAAGGGACTGGAAACGCCTTCCAGGCAGAGGGAGCAGCGCAATCGAGGGACCCTGAGGCAGTGGGTGCCCTGCCGTGGGCGCCAGTTGGGGCTATTGGGCGAGATCAGCAGGGGGCATTCTGGGGCTGAGAGTAATTTTCACGCCCTGCGGATCCGGATCGCTTGGCCTGAAACTGCGGTGGGTATGGACAGTCACTGGTCCGGTCAAGGGCACAATTCTGCGCATCCACACAGCCGTTTGGGGCTAGCAGAGAGCCTTCACTCGCTCAGGACTTTACCGCGAGGCGGCCCCTGCAACCACTGAAGACCCATTTTGCAGACCACATAGCGTTATTCCCGTTTCCCAGATGAGGAAATCGAGAAGCGGCGAGCGTCCGGCCCTCGCAAAGCGCCGAGGTGGAGCCGCGCCGCCCCCGGGCACTCCCCGGCGTGGGCGCTCGGGGCGTGCGGGGCGGGCCCTGGCCGCGGGCGCTCGGCTGTCTGGAACTGCGGGCCGGGAGCCCGCCCTGCCACGCAGCCGCAGAGGCTCGGCCCCGCGGGCGGGCGGCAGGAAAAGAGGCGACGCCCCCTGGAGCGCGGCAGGAACCCGGCCGGGCCCGCCTCCCAGCGAGCAGAGCCGCGCCGGCCCCAGCGGTGATGAAAGCGGCGGCCGAGTCCAGGTCACGCCGAAGCCGTTGCCCTTTTAAGGGGGAGCCTTGAAACAGCGCCCGGGTTCCATGTTTGCATCCGCCTCGCGGGGAGGAAACTCCATGTTGTAACAAAGTTTCCTCCGCGCCCCCTCCCTCCCCCTCCCCCTTAGAACCTGGCTCCCCTCCCCTCCGAAGCTCGCGGGGATCCCTCCCTCCCACCCCTCCCCTCCCCCCCGCGCCCCGATTCCGGCCCGAGCCGGGGGGGAGGCCGGGCGCCCGGGCCAGAGTCCGGCCGGAGCGGAGCGCGCCCGGCCCCATGGACAGCTCGGCCGTCATTACTCAGATCACCAAGGAGGAGGCGCGGGGCCCGCTACGGGGCAAAGGTACTGGGGCCGCGCGGAGGGGGCTGCAGCCGGGCGCCGCGGAAGGGGAGGAGAAGGAGGCCGAGAGCCTTCCCTGGGCAGTCGCCGCCGCTGCCCCGGGCGCCCGCCACGGCGGAGCTCCGAGCTCCTAACCCGAGAGGGAGCGGGGAAAGAGTTTGAACTAGCCGAGGCTCAGAGACGCGGGGCGGGGCCTGGAGCCACTGGGGCGCCCCCGAGTGCTCGAGGTGGAGAAACTGAGGCAGAGGTAGAGAGTGGGTTCCTTCCTGGTCTCCTGGGCTGGCAAAGCGTGTTGCCCGACAGTCGCCCCCTCCCCCCCATTGGCGCCAATGAAGCTTGGGAGATGGGGGGGTTGAAGAGGGCGCCTTCAGGCCACCCGCTGAGGCTCCGCCCCGGGCCGCGATCTGGTCGGGTCGCCGGAGGGGGCGCCGAGGTGACAGCGGGCTCAGGAGGGTTGGAGGGATCTCCCGCCAATACACAGCTACGATCCCAACAAACTTCCGCGTCACGCGTGGAAGCACTGAGCCTCTCAGAGGCGCAGAGTGGGGCAGCCACTTCTAAGGGTCGCTAGCGCGCCCGCGGGGTGTCCCGTGCGTCGGGCGGGACACAAGGCGCCCGGGCTGCAGGCCCTTTGGCGCCGGGCCTGTGCACACACGCACCGACCCGGTAAGCCGTGCCGCCCGCCTCGGTCGGGCGCCCAGGGGCTGGAGGGTCTGGGCTGGGGGTCTGCCCCTCCCTGTACGGTGTTGACCTCAGAGGCTAGGAAGTTCCTCCAGACCTGCCCAGCTCTGGCCAGGTCCTAGCTCCGTCCGAAGGCAGGGGGCCCGGTAGAGGGGCGGTGGAGGGTGGGCCAGTCAATCAAGCGGCGGATGCCCAGCTCTAGGTCGGAGGTCTGGGCGGGGCGAGGGCGGAGGAGGCGGGCCGGCAGATGGCTGCGGGACACTGGTTCCAGCCAGGCTCCCACTCCCAGCCTCTGGGCCCAGCCTTAGTGAGGACTTTGGACCCACGTGGGCGGAAAGGATGGGAGGAGGGCGAGAGCTTACCGCAGGGCCCCAGGCCCCAGCCTTCCTTGGTTAGGGGCCGATGGAACGGGGGCTGCTCAGGTAAGGTGGGTGTCAGGAAGCGCCCCCAGTGGGGCTGATCCCCCAGTAATGATGAAGGCCGGGAGAAAAAGAGAAATCACTCTCGGTCGGCCCCTTCAGCCAGCCCACTTCCTAACGAGGGTTACTTTGTGCCCACACTAGGAGGACTCCTGGCTCTACGGGGTGACAGGAGGGTGACTAGAGGGCCACGTTAATGTGTCTCCTTCAATGAGGAGGGCGTGGCCAGACCCTCCCACCCAGGGGTTCGCACCTGGGTACCCACACCCGACTCTGCAGAATAGAGTGCACACCCCCACCTTGCGCCTCCCTGCTGCAGGTGACCAGAAGTCAGCAGCTTCTCAGAAGCCCCGGAGCCGGGGCATCCTCCATTCGCTCTTCTGCTGCGTCTGCCGGGAAGATGGGGACGCCCTGCCTGCCCACAGTGGGGCACCCCTGCTGGTGGAGGAGAACGGCGCTGTCCCCAAGGTGCGTGGTGGCCAGGTGGGAGCGGCAGGGCCACACCTGAGCTCAGCCTGGAGGATGTTTAGGGAAAGGGGCTTTTCATGACCCATCTGCAGGCCTTGGAAGGTATGGAAGAGGGTGGCGGGGGGGGGGGTGCCCCTGCCCACCAGGCCCACCACCCTCCCTCCCAGGCCCCTCGCAGCCCGGCCCTGAATGGCCCAAGACTGCCACCCAAGTGAGGGCTCTTCAGCCAAGGGAACTCTGTAAGGTGGGAGGCTTTCTCTACCTTGGTGTCCCGGTGGGGAAGTGAGGTCCAGTGCCGGGCAGCCCGCCCCAGGCTAGTTGGCAGGAGCGAAGCTGGGAAGGGGGTGGTGTCTCCCAGCTTTCCCTGTGCCTCCTGAGGTAGAGGGCTGGGAGAGGCAAGACCTGCTTAGGAGAAATGACTGGGGTTTAAGAGAGGCGCCCCCAGCTACCTCACCTGTCCCTGCAGCAGACCCCAGTCCAGTACCTGCTCCCAGAGGCCAAGGCCCAGGATGTGGACAAGATCTGTGTGGTCATCGACCTGGATGAGACCCTGGTGCACAGCTCTTTCAAGGTAGGCCCTGCCCAGCACCCTCAGCCCTGGGTCTCTGAGGGGCCCTGCCCTGGACTGGGGGAGGGGCTCTGCGGGCCCCGCCCCAGCAGTTCCTTTTCCCCCCCACAGCCAGTGAACAACGCAGACTTCATCATCCCTGTGGAGATTGATGGGGTGGTCCACCAGGTGAGGGGCTGGGTGTGGGGGGGTGGTGGGGGGCTTGGCATCTGCCTTCCAGACCCTAGGCTCCTCTCACCAATCCTGAAAACCCCAGGTGGGACTTCGATAGATGTGGAACGTTAAGGCCCCAGAGGGTGTGAGACTTGGCGGAGGGAGGTTGGTCGCACAGACCCTAAGGGACCTGGCCCAACTCCAAGGCCAGCAGGGAGTGGGGTTCCTCCTCGGCTCCCCCTTGCCCCACCTTGCCCGGGACCCAGTTCAAGTAATTCAGGATAGGTTGTGTGTTGTCCAGCCTGTTCTCCATTACTTGGCTCGGGGGTCGGTGCCCTGCAGCCTTGGGGTGAGGGGGCTGCCCCCAGGCTCCTACATTTGGCTGAGGCCGTAGTGGGGGAAGGACTGGGAATTAGGACTTGAAGCTAGAAGTTGGGGGTTCGTTTTGATCCTCTTCTGGAAGGATAGTCAGAGTGGCTGGCTGGCCAAGTGGAGCCCGCAGACCCTGGGACCAGCCTCCCTGCTGTGCTCCTCTGCTCTTCCTTCTGCTCCCTCCCAGCCCTCAGCCACCCCACCCCTCCTCACCCCACCCCCAGGCAGCCCTGCAGTCCCCTTACTGGCCCGCCCCCTAGGTCTACGTGCTGAAGCGGCCCCATGTGGATGAGTTCCTGCAGCGAATGGGCGAGCTCTTTGAGTGTGTGCTGTTCACCGCCAGCCTCGCCAAGGTGAGTCCTCCCCACCCTCTGAAGAGCTCCTGGGGCCACCCGCCTCCCACTGGCCTCCAGCCTGCAGCTGGATCGACCTCTGGGTCACTCACCGGTGGCCCCGGGTGACCCATCTTCTGCTCCATAGTACGCAGACCCAGTAGCTGATCTGCTGGACAAGTGGGGGGCCTTCCGGGCACGGCTGTTTCGTGAGTCCTGCGTCTTCCACCGAGGCAATTACGTGAAGGACCTGAGCCGGCTGGGCCGAGACCTGCGGCGGGTGCTCATCCTAGACAACTCGCCCGCCTCCTACGTCTTCCATCCAGACAACGCCGTGAGTACCACGCAGGACCGGGTCGGGGGCCGAGAGCCAAGCAAAGGGTCAGCCGTCAGGACCACCGGGGGCCTCCCCGTTCCCGTGCTGGGTGCTGTCCAGGGCCTGGGGCCTTCCCAGTCCTCCTTCCTGCCCTCGGTGACCTATGCCGGCCACCCGCTCACTTCATCCACGCACTGCCACGGCCCGTAGTGATCATTCAGTCCGTTCGCTTATGTGAAGAGGGGTGCCCAGCCGGGGCTGAGGGCCGTGCCACACACTGGAGCAGTTTCACGCTGCTGGCTGTGACCTGTGAGTGGGTCACAGAAATGATGTAGTGACTCCTAGTTGGGATTTTTAAAAAACAAAATAGAACAGAAAACATTGGAGTGTTTTGCAAAGAGTAAGGTTAAGTTCCATTTCGTGAGACTTTCATTGCATACGTAGATGTGATTTGCTGTGAGTGCTGTCAGAAGTGTTTGAAAACTGCAGGTAAGGGGCTTCTGGGTGGACATCGTGTGCCCAGAGCCCCCGCCCCCCTCACTGCCCCTCATCCATCTGCCCAGGTCCCAGTGGCTTCCTGGTTTGACAACATGAGTGACACAGAGCTCCACGACCTCCTGCCCTTCTTCGAGCAGCTCAGCCGCGTGGATGACGTGTACTCAGTGCTCAGGCAGCCGAGGCCCGGCAGCTAGTGAGGCGCCCTGGGGCCAGGACCTGCCCCTGACCAGCGCCCACATCCCTCACACATGGACTCTTCCTTAAGAAAACCTAGCAGCCACTGCTGCCACCTCAGCGTCATGGGGAAGTGGGCCCTCCCCACCTGCCTGGCCAGGTTGTGAAAGGGGCAGCAGGCTGCACCAAGGGCGATGAGCCCCTGGGTCCCTGTGTCAGTGCCTTAGAACCTCCTCCTCCTTCTTGGGGGATCTGTGGGGCCCTGCGTGCAGCTCCCCCTTTCTCTCTCTCTCTCTCTCTCTCTCTGCTGCCATGTTTCTCTGCTGCCAAATTGGGCCCCTTGGCCCTTTCTGGTTCTGCTTGGTGGGGGGGGGGCAGGGTTCTTGCTGCCCCATGCCTTGGGCCCCCCAGCCTGGGAACGGTGGACACCAAGTGCCTTGCATAGAGCCCTTTTCCCTGCCCTATTTCCCCGGGGCCACGGTCAGGTCAGCTCTTGCCTGGAACGGTCTCCGGATGGCTGCAGTCGAGCCTGGTGGGAGAGGAACCAGTCTCCCCACCTCCTCCCTTGGGACTGATTAAGACCCCCACCAATCTCTGCCTAGGAGAGCAGGGAGGGAAGATCTGTTACGACTTGTGAAGGGAGCAGGGAGTGTGTCCAGGACCCCAGAGTCCAGCTGCTCTAGGCTCAGCAGCAGGGGAAGGCCGCCCTCCACGCCAAGACCTGACCCCTCACACCTGCCTTGACCACCCCAAGGCCCTGGGGCTTGGCTCCCCAGCTCCTAGTGTGGGGGCATAGGCAAGACCCCTTTGTGGTGCATATAAATATGTATATGTGTATATAGAGTTTTAGGGGAAGGGGAGAGGGAAGGGCTGGGGTAGAGACACCCCTCCTTTGCCCCTTTCCTGGACCCATAAATTGGGGGGGAGGGAGGGAAAGGATTTTTACATTTTTTAAACTGCTATTTTCTGAATGAAACAGGTTGGGCCAAGAGGTCCCAAGCCCTGTCTTCTGTCCCTCACACTCTCTTTGCTCCAGTTATTCGTTCAAAACACATTAGCACCTTCTCTGTGCCCAGCTCTGTGCTAGGCCCACCAGCTGAGTGTGTGGGGGTCTCCGCTTAATCAGTGCCTCCTCCACCCACTCCATACTTCACCGGTGCCTTTAGGGGAGCTGTAGGAGGTGGGACCCTTGTTGTGGGGTTTGGGGGTCTCCACGAAGCCTGGCCAAGCTGTCCCCCTTCCCAAGTGCCAACCCATCCCCTATCACCCCAGCCTCACCCCCTCCTGGCTGGGGGCAGCTGCCAGGACATCCTGACTTTCAGCTCTGACTTCTTTATCTGGAACCCCTACCCCCCAATGCTGAGTCTGGAGGTCAAGGACTTGAGCTCTCCCCAAGGCCTAACGGTTAAGGGGACCCACATAGCAGTGCCAAGGGGGGTGTCAAGTGGAGAGGTTCTTGCCCCTTCTCCCCCCCCCCCCCGAACTGGGGGTGGGAGGGAGGACAAGGTTGGCCTGAATCGGATGACCTTCCCATTTAAGTGCCTTCTCTGACTGAAAGCCCCACAATATGACAAGAACTAAACTGAACACCAGACCCCCATCCCGCCTCTGTGGTCTTTGGGGGGACGTTGAAGCGGGGAGTGGTTGTTTTCCCGCGAAGCCACACTCTCTTCAGTAAATCTTCTGGCGGTGGAGTGGGTGGAGGGAGGGGCTGCCCTAGGTTTCGGACTTCAAGAGTTCAAGTGAGAGGTTAGCGCACAGCTGTGGGCGGGTCCGAGCGCTTCGCTGTCCTGTTTAATTATTCTACCTCTCTTAGTCTCTGTTACCTGACCTGCATAATGGAGAAATGCCCTCTTAACAAGTTGGTTAAATGCCTGCACGAGGAGAACTCGACAGTATTAGCTGCAAAGCTGAGCAGCGTCCTTAGGGGAGGCCTCTGGAAGGTATTTGGAGGCGGGAGGGGTGTGGTCTCCGTTCCGGGGCAGATGGGAGGGACTCCTGAGGCCTCAGAGCCGGGGGTGGGGCGAGTTGCTGGTAAGCCAAGTTCATCTCCGAGCCGAAGAACTTTGGCCTTGGCTGAGACGGGCCTCCGAGGCGTCGGGAGGGGCGAGTGGGCGGAGGCGTTAAGGTCTCTGGGGAGACGGTGGGCCCGGCGCTCTGTCTCAGACCTCCGCCCCGCCTTACCCCTCCCGCCCCTCGGCGGCCTCTCAGCACCTACTAGCCGCGCCCTTGCACGAGCCTCCGGCCCACTTCCTGCCTCCGCCCCTCCGGCCCTGGCAGCACTTCCTCTGCAAAACTGGGCAGCCCCAGGCCCTGGCAGGAAGTGCCCTCCCGACCCGCCCTCTCCTGCTTCCCACGGCGGCCACTAGAGGCCTCTCTGGCCTCGCGGACGCCAGCCTGCCCCCTCCCTCACCCTGGGGGCTGGAAGGATCGGGGCCAGCATCATTCACCCGTCTCCTGGGGGTGGGGCAGCCTATCCCCCAACACACCAGACACTGGGGAGAAGGGAGATCTGCCCCCCACCAGCTCTGTCTACCCTATCCCCTCACCCCCTCATCCCCATACCTTGTGAATCCAGCCTCAAGTCGGCCTCCTCCAGCCCCAGATGCCCGGAAGTCTCAAGGGGACCTGCAGTGTGTGAGATAGCTCACCCCCATCTCTCTTCCCAGACAGCAGGAAGAGAAGTCCACAGCTCCACCAGCTCCACCAGCTGCACTCGGAGCTGGAGCTCACTCTTGGCTGGGTAAATACCCAGCCCTCTCAGCCTTTGCCTTCCTCCTTCCTGGGGCACTGTTTGATTTCCTGCTCTCCCAGTAACCACTGGGCCCCCCACCCCCAAGATTTGCATCCCAGGGGCCCTGACACCCAGGGAGTCACCAAGGTTCCCAGCTTTGAATGAGACCACAGTTAGCCTCTCCCCACCGCCACCACCTACACAGCTTCACCCACATAGAGTTCAACTCAACCACATGTATCCGCATTTCCAGTGTGCCCGGCACGCTGCCAGGGCCCAGGGACACCCCATGACTGGGCCATGCCTCTGCTCTCAAGGAACTCACACCCTAGTGCAGAGAGAGACACCTGAGCAGACGATCTAAAACCTGAAAGCCTGCAGATGCACCGAGAGAGAGAACACGCAAGGTGGGGAGCACAAGGGACACCTCACCCCACCTGGGGTGGCCTGGAAAATGCTTCCTGCTGGCTTGTGCCTCCGAGGATTTTGAGAAGGAGGAGAAGTTCAGGTAAAGGTGGCCTCAGCAAGGAGGTGCAACACTGGAAGGAAGCAGAAGCCTCAGAGGCCTGCCGTGGTAGAGAGTGTGGGAAATGACCATTCAGAATGGCCCGCAAGGGAGGAAGGACAGGAAATGAAGCTGCAGAAGGCAGGAGAGGCCAGATACTGCAGCTCTTTGGGCAGTCCAAGGGGGTGGCCTTCTTCCTGCACGCAGTGGGGATCATTGAGGAACACTGAACAGGAAGGCACAGTGCTCAAAGCCAGTCGCTGTAGTTTGGAACCTAAACCAGGGGTACAGGGACAGGAGACCAGATGAAGAGGCCACACCCCATGGAGGGTGGAAGCCTGAACTGAGGCAGAGGCGGAGAAAAGCCAGAAAAGGATAGAAGGGATGGATGTGAGAGAAGCGATAAACGGTGGGGAAGCTATGGCTGGCTGGCTTTGGGGGTGGGGGCAGGGATGGCCAGGAGAGAGCAAGACTTGGGAGATGCCAGCTGTGAAAAGGTATCTAATGAGCCTGGTATGGGCAGATATTCACTATTTGCTTGTTACACACACAGGAGCAGAGGGTGTAGGAGAACAGGCACCCGATAAAACGCTGCTGGCAGGGGTGTGAGCTGATACTACCCTTTTAGAGAGTGATTTGACTATCATGATTATGTTTTTAATGTTTTATTTATTTTTGAGAGACAGAGCACAAGATAGGGAGTAGCAGAGAGGGGGGTGGGGGGAACAGAGGATCTGAAGCGGGCTCCTCACTGACAGCGGAGAACTCCATGAGGGGCTCGAACTCACAAACCATGAGATCATGACCTGCACCAAAGTCGGTTGCTCAACCAATTGAGCCACCCTGGCACCCCTTAAAATTATTTTTTAAATGCAGATACTCTTTGATCCAGTAATTCCACTTCTAGGAATTTATGCTATATGTAAAATGTATGGATATATAGCCTTGTGTGTATAAGGGTGTTAATTACATCCTTGTTTGCAATAGCAAAATACTTGAAATAACCTAAGTGTCCATCAGTGCAGGACTGGTTAAATATTGCTTTATCTATAGCAGAACACCATGCAGTCTTAAAAAACAATAAGTTGGAACTATTCAAGCAGATATAGGATGACCTCAAAGACAGACAGCCGGTCAATAAAACAAGAGTTCTAACAATGGTGATGGTGTATTCCCACAAAGGAGAAATATAAAATGACACAAACATATACGTACTTTCTTGCACTTTCTTTCACTCCGGTCAGGTACACAAGAAATGAGAGCTGTTGCCAGGCCTGGGGAGCAGTGCTGGGGGACTGAATGGAAGTCATCTAAGATAGGTTGGACACAGTTTATTATACATCTAACTCAAATTATTATTTTTTTAACGTTTTATTTATTTCTGAGAGAGAGCATGAGCAGGGGAGAGTCAGAGAGAGAGGGAGACTCAGAATCTGAAGCAGGCTCCAGGCTCTGAACTATCAGCACAGAGCCTGATGCGGGGCTCAAACCCACGAACCGTGAGATCATGACCTGAGCCGAAGTCGGACGCTTAACCGACTGGGCCACCTAGGAGCCCCAACTCGAATTATTTTACCAGGTATATTTATTAATTTTTTGAAAATAAATCCGTTTAGGGGCTCCTGGGTGGCCCAGTGGGTTAAGTGTCCAATTTTGACTCAGGTCAAGATCTCACGGTTGGTGAGTTCGACCCACACATCGGGCTCTCGGCTCTCAGTGCAGACGCTGCTTGGAATCCTGTCTCTCTCTCTCTCTCTCTCTCTGCCCCTCCCCCACTCACGGAAGCTCTCTCTCAAAAGTAAACTTTAAAAAAATTTAAAATTCGGAAAAAAGGTGGGCAAAAAATTAAAAAATCAAAATCAGTTTAAAACTTAAAACACAGCTTCCTAAATATCATACCAAAGCTAGAAATCATAAATTCCATTTCTTCCTTCAACATTCATTGCATGCCTACCACGTACCAAGCACTAGGGTTCAGCAGTGAGCGAAACAGACACTGTGGGCAAATCGGATGTTAAAAAAGTAATTACAGAATGAATATTCTAAAAGAAGAAGTAAAAGGACACCTGGGTGGCTCAGTCCGTTGAGCGTCCAACTTTCGATTTCAGCTCAGGATCCAGGGTTGTAGGACTGAGCCCTCCCAACACTGAGTGTAGAGATTCCTCAGGATTCTCTCTCTCCCTCTGCCCCTCTCCCCCCCACCCAAAATAATAGTAATAATAATAAAAGAAATAAAGAGTGGTAAGTAAAGAATTAAAAATTTCTGTGTTTCTAATACCAAACCCTCACCCCAAGATGACTTCTCATTGTGAAGGGGAGAATGTGCCTTTACAGTGTAGGTATCTGGCAGTCGCTATCGTAACCAAGGGATCAAACTTCACACCACTCACGCTAGGACCACATGACATTTTATACCTCCTAATGCCACTCAATGTGAAACAGCCACACCTTTGCCCGTGCTACTCAAAGTGAGGTCTGTGGACCTGCTTGGCAACATCACCAAGGATCCTGTTAGGGATTCAGAGTCTAGGGTCCTAGACCTATTGAATCAGAATCTGCACTTTAAATAGATTCCCAGGTGATTCGTATAATAATAGAGTTTAAAAAGCACTGACCTTTTTCAAGCATCCTTGAAAAGAGAGTTTAACCAGAA